TCACTCACTCACTCACTCACTCACCTCACTCACTCACTCTCACTCACTCACTCACTCACTCACTCAAAGGTACTTCCACGCGGATTCCATTGTACATCTGAGGCTGACCACATTCCTGGCGGGGCGGAGCAGTTCGGCTGGCCGCCTTCATCTCAAAATTGCGAAGTGGGAAAGTGATCACAGCACAGCTCGAAACAGAGCAATAAGGCCACAGGCAACCAACATCCACACCGGGACGATGGCTGTCCAAGCTGCAGTGACCCAGGCTGCGAAGGCACGCGACTGCGTTTCTTGCTATTGTAAGCGTATACAGGTACGTTCAAACTGGTTGCATAAATGATAAGACTGTCCGTAGTCGATGACGGACGACCACTTGGAGCAGTTGTTCAGCGGACCACCACCAGTGCTCAATGCGATGCTGCGTGGAGCGCAATTCTCGTGACTGGTGCGGGTTTTGCAACACTCTTAGGTGAGGTGCACCGTCTTTTTCTGACGTATGCTTGACGATCACGGCATATTCATGGAAAGCACATTCAGTGCCACTCCTCAAGCTTGTTCTTCATTGACCTTCCGCCTTCGAGGTTAGCTAAGCTGGCAGGGGAAACGGATCTGAAGGTGCTGCTCCGTCCTCAGCTCCAGAGACCACCCCACACCGGCACACGAGAGCCTCGAACGCCCAGGCACGGCCCTGGCAATGCCGCATGGCCCTCGAAGAGACCCCCCCTGAGCTTCAAGGATCGCAGTTGGGCTGAGGACTCCTTGCGTTGGCCACCCCAGAAGGACAGAAGTTGAGATCTGCGAAAAGCCTCAATGGAGGTAGAAGCTGTGTTTCTGTGCAGGAGCGAAGGCATCGCTCGCGGTCCTCTCGACGTCAACGCCTAAGCTTCGCTTCGTTCATTTCGGCGCCTGTCGACTCCTGCGCTCCTGCTTCTCGGTACCTTTCATGTCCCCGCCTTCTTTGAGGCTCTGATGACGAGCAAGCATCTGAGGATGAAGTTGCCAGAAGGAACTAGGCAATGACTTAGTTGTGGTTTTCATTCTGCGACCAAGACGGTTGCGGATGTAGTGGCATGAGCGCATCAAAGATCTCATCGCTCGGGCCATGCAGCATGTAAAGACTGTGAAGAGTCAACTGCACATATTCGTTTGCTCGGTGCCTCTGCTGCCGAATGTGGCCACCTTGTGCAAGGCATCCCACTTAGCAGTCCCAGCTTTCACCTGTTCTGGAAGGTTGCTTGTGCTGTGGTGCTGGTAGCTGTCTTCGTGCCGATGCTGGCCGCGTGACGGACTCAGACCAGAGCAGCCCCACAGACAATCCGATACTCGTGTCCTTTGAAGCTGTGCAATTGTACTTCTCAGTCTCAGGCCTATCTTTGGAGGCGATGCGCTTAGACTCCGTGGTTTCAAAACCAAAGCTGCGAAGCTCCAGTGGTCAGGGCCGCAGGGCAAAGCCTCCTCGTGGCTTCCACCCCTTCCGTGTTGGCCTCAGGCACCCAAGCAACAAAACACAGCCCCAAAAAGCAGCACAAAGCATCAACTCTGAAAGGCAGATCCAGAATTCTAGACTCACTAGAGTCACTAGAGTCCACAGTCCCTCGAGGTTTTTTCCGATGGTCCGAACAACACGACACAGGATCGCCCCCAAAACCGTGCGTAGCAGCAGCGACGGAACACCAAACAAAACCCCGTGTCGCATCCGTGCTGCGTCGGAGAGAACCAAACCCTACACAAACCCCTCGAGGGAGCCCCTAAACCCGTTTGGAATCCATCCGATAATGAACTTCTGATTCTTCGTTAAGGATCTCCTCCGTTCTTCTCTCGCATCGGACGTCCAATGACATCTGTGGCATCTTGCATACACCCTACTAGTCACTAGGCCCTTGAAGCTGCCGAAGGCTTGACATGGCAGAGCCAGAGCTCCGCCCCAGCCTCGTTCTGCGGATTCCGTCCAGGACTTGGGCCGCAAGGGAAGGAGCGGAGAGAGTGAAGAACAGACTTTCAATGATCTGAATACCAAACGACAACTATGTAAGTGCATCCTTTAAGCCGGCGGAAAGAGAAGAGATCAGAGAAAGACTTAATGTATGTCGTGGCGATGCCCTGCTGCTGAGACCGACTTCCGACTCAGGTATCGGGACTGGGTCCTCTGGGAGTGTCCTCCCTTCGCGCCCGTGGCCTCAGCCTTTTTCGCTCTTCTCTGGATGGCGCGCCCTACAGATCCCTTGAGTTATAATGGAACCCTATAAGGGTTTTAAGCCTCAGATCCCTTGAATTATAATAGCCTATAAGTTTTTAAGCCTCCCAGCCGTAAAACGAAAGGGCCTTAATTGAACGGAACACGCGCTGGCCAAGGCTGGGTCTGCTTTGCGGCATCCTGATGAGCGTCGCTGGGTGGGGCCCCTTCAAAGAGCAGGTGTAACTCCAGAGCCAGAGGGGTTCTCGAAGACTACATGATGTCTTAATGACCTGTCAAGCGCACACATTATGCAATATGACACGTAGACACACACTAGATAAGATACTAGGCTATATATATATATATACACACACACACACATATATATATATATTATCTATCGCTTATAACACTTTCATGTAGCGTTTCATGTCGTATATTGTGCAGAGGGACGCAGTTTTTGCGGCAAAGGAAGAGCGAGTGGCTTACGGTAGGAGCCCTAATGAACCCTAAACCCTAAACCCTAAAAGTGGCATGTCCGAGTTGTGAGAGCCTAAACCCTAAAAGGAGCCCTGGATCCCTTTCAGGGCAGCTCTGGCCACGTTCTTTTGCGGCGAGTTTTTCTCGGGCGGTGAAAGACCCGCTGATGGCCCAGCGCCGGGAGAATTCAGGATCTCGTTAAAGGGTTTCCTTAAATTAATTGAGGATCCTATGGTATTTAGGTGGGGGGGGGGCCCGAAGGTCTAGGATATTGTTGGGATGAGGGTTTGAAGGATGGCTATTGTTGTAGGGTTAAGGGTCCTTGGGGTTTGGGTCTGCACATCAAAGCCTCGCGAGATAGTGCGTAGCATCGAAGCTCCAAGCAAAGAGCCGCCCGGACTTGCTTAGCTTCGCAAATCAGGCGGACGGGTGTCCCGAGCAACCGTCCAGTGATCTATCTGCGTCGTTCAGATCGTTCTTCGAGTCGTTGCGTACCTCAGGCTGCTCGGCTGTTTGCCAACGTAGCTGCGCCGAGCGCCCCAGACCTGCAGGGCACTGTTCTTCCATTGCATCGGATCCAGATCTGTGCAAAGTACTGGTAGCATGCTGGGGAAGGTCTGTCCTCGCATACACTGCCCGTTCCGTCCTAAGCTCTGATGTGTGCCTGGAGTGGACCGTGGCACCGCTGTGTTCGAGGTGCCATAGATGCCGCAGTGGATTGTGCTGAGGGCAAATCCGCCATCAGCGGCACGAGGCCTGGAGACGGTCGCTTCTTTGCCTCTCGCGAGCATGGCCTTGCCAGTGACTTCCTGCGGTCCAAGTTCGTCAGCAGCTTCTGCGGAGCACTGTCGGCTTTCTCGGGCACCATAGGCCTGGCAAGAGATCGCACCCCATTGCGCTTGCCACTGAAAGCTTGAAAGAATTATATACAGTCATGGTGAATCATGGGGCAACGATCGCTGCACGTGTTGTAGTGGCATTGTGCTGTAAGTTGGCCTCACAGTTCTTGTCAAGCATCTCGCAGAGTCCTCACAGGCTTGCAAACAGCAAGGCTCAGTTTGACCAGTCACGAGTGTGCGGAAAACATGGTTCAGTTATTGTGTGGCCGGCAGGGTGTGAGTGAGGAGAGATGAGCCTCGCACACAGCCTTCTGCTGAGATGTTCAGGGGACATCGCTGACGTGCAGTTCGGGTCGGCAGCCGAAGACAGCATCCTCGACTCATCCACCCATGAGGCAAATGACACGGGGCGTGCTGATAAGTGACGCCAAGTACTTAATGGCTTCATCACCTCGGCATTCGATTGTAGCCGATAACAATTTGTGCTTCGGAGTTCGTTGACGTTTGCAAACCTATAGCCCTGTTTCTACCCAGATAATGATCCTGTGGCCGGATCGACTGTCGGCCCCTGATCTTGCAGGTGCCCGGCAAACGCCGATCTCAGCTTCAGGACCTCTCCCGAATGCCGGGGGCACTGAAGCATGGAGTCCTGCACAACTTCGTCATTTTTTCTTCAAGCGTTCACACGGCTCAGCCCTAAACCCCCCTTATTTCTTGGAGTCACTTTTTTTTTGTTCCTGCAGAGGGACCTGCAAAAAGTGTGTAGTATCTCGGATGGGATCCGAAATCCAAATCCTTCAGCGAGACCTGGCCAAGGCCTGGGCTCTACAACTTCCTTCTGCACTGGGTTGCCGCCTCGGGCAATCTCGGGACCAGCGTTGCTCCAGTTTTGTCATTCCTACTAAGAATGATAGGCTTGATAGGCATCAGTCGTACTTTTGAGTTTATGACCTTTTGACTTGCGGTTCATAGAAATACGAGCATGCCTGAGATTTCGCACCGCTCTTGTTACTGTCAGTGTTGTTCTTGCCGCTGCTGCTGCGATTAGCGCCGATACGGCTCTGCTGGCCCATGTGGCTAATACCTTATGAGTCTCGGGTAGTTCAAGTTCCGGTTTCGGAGTCCTGCAAGTAGCCGAGGTCCTCACGCTGCTGGTCATGTGGGGCTGCGCCCGCTTCGAGACCTGGCCACGAGCCGTGTGGTTCCTGGGAGCCTCTAGTTGCAGCACGCAATCCACGGGTACACATGTGTGTGTCTACCCTCCTGCCTATCTACTTATACCTGTACATATGCATGTACATGTACATGCATGTGCATATACACAAGCGTTTGCAAATACACAGGCACGATCGCGTGCACGCGCGCACGCACCCGCACCCGCACCCGCATGCACACGCACACGCATGCACCGGCACCCACCCACACCCACACCCACAC